ATATATATAAATACATATCTCGGATATAAATCAATAAATGAATAAAAAAATATTTGTTTAAAAATCGGACTTTACCGGGAGATTTGCGACCTTCAGACAGATATTTTCCCAGTGGTGAGTGAACTGACTCCAGTCCTAATAGATCTACAACTGAACAAGTGGAGACCAACGGTTTATATACAGCCGAAACTACAACCTGTTCCAACGACCACCTGTATAAGACAGTCACTTGTACAAACGTCCACTTTCAATTTCCCGCGGTGGTTGGATTTTTTTCTTCTTCTTTTTTGTGTGTGTGTGTGGGGGGGGGGTGTCTTTGATTTACATCACAATGACACTGTACTGTGTGAGACGTCCAACCTGTCTAAGACAAGATAACCACTTTTCTCCAGGACAATGGGTGGCTGTCTTAGACAATGTTGACTCTATACAAACACAAAACACAAGAGTCTACAGACCTAGTTGAGTACTTGTTGTTAGCGATAGAACAACTTTTGCCCACGCCACAAAAAACCAAACCGGGAACACTGGACTAAAGGGGCTTTGTTCCTTCCTGTTGAACTCAGTAAGAAAAGAAAAGTTTGTTCTTTTCCTTTTCCACTCGTAGATCAAGTATTTATTCCCAAAGTTATTTTTCTTTCCAAAGTGTGCAATATGTGTGTGTGTGAGTGTGTGTGAGTGTGTGTGTGTGTGTGTGTGTGTGTGTGTGTGTGTGTGTGTGTGTGTGTGTGTGTGTGTGTGAATATTGTTCGTACATGCATTTATGTTAAGCTCCTAGAGCTGTGTTCACACGGGAGAGGGCGTTATAGAAATGATCTACAGTATAAATATAATTTATGTTCCAGGTTGATAAAGGCAGTCACAAAGTGTGAGAGTCTTGACGAGGCCACAAGAATGTTGCACACGTATCAAACACCCCGTGACGTGAGCACGAACCTCTCTCGTTTCCTTGCGTTGATGCCATCTATTCACAACAGTCAGTTGTGTAAATGGCGGGGCCTTCTAATTTCATACCATTCTCCTTTTGGTAAAGGTTGCTTTTTTAGCTAAGCGCTCGCATCTACGTAATTAGTTGGAGGGCGACACTGGTAAGCCCTACTTCTTTCCTACTTTCCCTTTGTTGTTTCTGTCTGTTTGTCTTACCTTTCCATGGCACTAAATAGCCATTATTGTGTCAATATGCTTCTCTTTACTCAAACAAACAAAGATGGCTCTCGTGGCCTAGAGGTTAAGGTGTTGGCCTCTCATTCAAAGGTCCCTGGTTCGAATCCGGGTAGCGACCAAAAAATTTTCTTCTCTAAAATTGCCTCCTTTCACCTCCTTTCCTGCTCTCTAGCAATGTACAGTGGTCTGCTTTCATTTCCACTTTCTGCCTCCACCCCCTCACCTCCTTTGCCTCCTACTCTGGGCTCCTAACTCTTT